GAAATGTATTACCTCAAAATATGTCGTCTGACTTGTCCACTAGGCTTTCGATTTCCCCCACTTAGCTGGGAAAGCGATTGCCTATTTTTGTCGTCGACAGAAATACGCGATAGGCAATTATGGAAAACATTTACAATTTTTGTTTTCCATAAAATTTTTACCAATAATATAGTGCAATTAATACATTACACTTTATTACAGATATATATGAAAATCCCATTCAGATAGCTTGGGAAGAGAGCTTTTTCTTTCCTTTTTTTCTTAAAACACAAAACAAGAAATGATGGAAAACATGAACACATTTGTTTTCCATTATTGTCTATTTTGAAGTATAGCATTATAGGTAGTTCTAGTTATCAGAATTAGAGAAGTGAATGATAGGTAGAGTGAGAGTACAGATAGATATACCTAAGTGTTGTACCCTATAAGAGATGACCCTATACAGTCTATGCAAACATAACAAATACACATGTTTGACACACCCCCTAGACTGCATAGGGGAATGTCCTAAACAAGCAGCTCAGGGCGGCACTACTAGTCCAACCTCTGAGACAAGGGTCTGAGAGACCACTCAGAAGGAGTACAGACAAGGCGAGAACAAGACCAGGGCGGCACTACTAGTTCAGCCACTGGGAGAGGACACAAGTCCAGTCTGAGTATACATATAAAGGACAGTACAAAGTCAAGGCCCTAGCAAGTGAGAGGCTACACGAACCAGACCAAGCAGTACACAGTGCCGCTGATGATCTTGAGGCGCAAGCCAGGATGCTGAGAGGGTATGCGAGATCTGGGCGAGTGCAAGTCATCAGGTACATGAGGCAACCCACCAGCTCTGCGTAGGGGCCGCTGGGCTCAACCGACTCCTCAAACACTGGAGCGGAGAGTCTGTGGTCTACTGGCAGAGGGGTGGGCTGTGCAGAGGAGAACTGAAGGCTGAACCTCTGAAGGACCTGGCGCACCAAGTGTGACTGAGTCAAGGTGATGGTGCGCGCTGCTCTGTCCCTGGAGATCTGCAAGCCAAGGTAACGGCGCAGTTCTCCAAGGTCAGTGCAGGTGTGTCTCTTTAGCAGCTCTGCCTTCACGGAGGCCAGTGCGTCCCTGTCTGCTGAGGCAAAGACCAGGTCGTCAACGTAAACAAGGATGTAGAACGGAGTCTGGCCAGCACGAACGAAGAGTGAAGGGTCTGCGGAAGACGGAAAGAACTGCAGGTCAGCAAGCGTAGCACGGAGAGTGTCGTGCCACTCACGGGGAGCCTGACGCAGGCCGTAGACGGGGCGCCGCAGGAGCCACTAGGTCCCAGGAGGGAAGGTGCCAGTAAAGCCCTGAGGGCGACGCAAGTAGACCTGCTCGTGTAGGCTGCCCTGAAGGAAGGCAGTGGAAAAGTCGAGGGAGTGAAGCTCGTAGTCACGCTGAGCAGCTAGGTGTAACAGAACCCGAAGAGTAGTCATCTTCGGGGTCGGAGCGAAGGTCTGGAAGAAGTCCACCCCCTCACGCGGACTGAAGCCTCTAGCCACATAGCGCGCCTTGAACACAGGCGGCTCTCCAGGAGGGCGCTTCACCTTGAAGAGCCAGCGGCCATCGACTACGTTCACCCCAGGCGGGGGAACTGCGTCGACGAAGGTGCCGGTGGATCTCCAAGATGCCATCTCCTGCTCCATGGCAGCTATCCACTGCGAGGCCCAAGGTCCCGAGGTCGCCTCAGCGTAAGTGCGAGGGGTCGGGATGTCGAAAGCGTCTGGGTCACCCTCAGGGACTAGCAGCATGGAACAGAGATGGGGAGCAGCCTCGGACAGGAAAGCAAGCTCGAACTGGCGGTCCTCCAGGACGTCACTGCCAAGGGCAGGAGCACCCCCGACAGATGGAGGACAGGCAGGGTCAGAGACCAGAGCGGTGGCGTAGTCAAGGCGGCGGGTAGAGGCGAAGTCAGCGACCGCAGCTACAAGAGCGTCAAGGCACGAGACCGGAACAGACGGGTCAGTAACGAGAGAGGCAAGGACCCGGGGAAGAAGAGGACGAGCGGCACGAAGGTAGTCAGACAGCGGGGGGGGGTGCAACAACAAGGGAGGACGGAGGAGGCGACGGGAGAAGGGGAGGGCGAGACGCGTGGGAACGAAGCAGCAAAGGGTGGGAGCGCAAGACAGGGGAGGCAGGACGAGCACGGGAGGGACGGTGAGACCAGACGTGCGACGGAGGAGTCGCGTCAGGAGACAGGGGAGGGGACATACGAGGGGAACGAGGGGGAAGACGGGCGGGGGACGAGTCTGGCGGAGGGAACACAGGGCCGTAGACGGGAAGAGGAGGAGAGGGGCGGAGAGGAACAGCCGCAGGGTCAGGGGACGGAAGGCCGAGCAGGCGAAGGGCGGACACCGGCGGGGACTGCTGCTCCGCCAGCAGAACGGCGACACGGGGACTGCAAGCTGCGCCGCGGCTACCACCGGCACACTCCACACCAGCACCCTCAGAGGAAACACCCCCAGGGCTACCGGTACTAGCACCCCCAGAGTCAGCGAACGGGTGCTGCGACGGCGGCGGCGGCGGCGGCAGCGACACCGATGGCTGCAGCGGCGGCAGAGGCGGTGGAGGAGGGGACTGGGGAGGGGACGCCGGTGGAGGGGCGGCCGGCGAGGACTGCGCAGCAGGGCCACGAGAGTCAGAAGACTCCTCAACCGGGTCCACCGACGGAAGGGGGGTGACGTGGGACACACCAGAGGGGGCAGGACGGGGAGGAGGAGGAGGAGGGGCAGGGACTACCGGAGAAGGAGTGACCAGGAACAGGGGGGTGGTAACCGGGGGACCGCGGTGGGGGAAGCGACGGTAGTAGGAGACGGACTCGTCAAAGGTGACGTCACGAGAGTGAAAGAAGCGGTGAGACGGCGGGTGGTAAAAGTGCCAGTCGGACGCGTCAAGGGAAAAACCGAGGAAGACACAGGGAAGGGTGCGGGCAGTGAGCTTGTCCGTGCCGGAGGCACGGACGTGAGCAAGGCAGCCCCAGACGTGGAACGCAGACGCGTCACCAGGAGACCCAGTCCAAAGACGAGTCGGCGAAACCTGAGGCTGCTGAGGGTGCGGCCACAAGTTAAGCTGGTGAGAAGCGTAGCGCACAGCGAACGGCCACAGAAAATGGGGTGCACCGGCATGGATCATGGAGGTGCGAGCCACCTCCATGACCAAACCGATGCGTCGCTCAGCGACCCCATTCTGCTGTGGGGAGTCCGGTAGGGTGAACGTCTGGGTGATGCCCTCCGCACGACAAAAGCGACCAAGGACACCTGAGGCAAACTCGCCACCATGGTCGGAGTGAAGACGCAAGACAGGGAGACCGCGGTGGACACGCGCAGAGACAAGCCAGGGGATGAGAGCGCCAGGCACGTCGGCCTTGCGCTCCAGGGGAAAGACTGTGGTGTAACGAGTGAAGTCGTCGACAAGCACAAGGAAGTAGCGCTCTCGACGCGGCCCAGGGACGGGGGCGGGGCCCCAGACGTCCAGGTGCAGGGTCTGCAGCGGCGCGGCGGTAGGGGAAAACGAGGAGGAGTGCGGGGCACGGGGAAGCCGACCCTCAACACAAGGCGTGCAAGGTGGGGCTGGGGAGGAGGGAAACGCGGGGAGGGAACCTGGGAGACCAAGGACAAGACCGTGCTGGGACATGTGACGCAGACGCGGGAGCGCAGGGTGACCTAGGCGGTGGTGCCAAAGGAGAGTCGGGTGAGTGAGGGACCGACAGGAGCAGGCAGCAGCAACCTGGGTAGATGCAGCCACCTGAGGGAGCGCTCCACCCGGGGGGATCACGGTGTCCAGAGTGAACAGGCCAGACACCGGGTCCCGGGGGAACGTGGACAGGGGGACACCAGTGGCGGCCTCGGTACAGACCGCATACCGCTCGTGGCCAGGGAACGTAGTGGTGATGCCAAGGTCCTGGAGGCAGCCGACACCAACTAGGTTCCTGGAGAACGAGGGGATATGCAGACTTGTGAGAGTGCCTGAAGGAACCGCCGGACAGGGAAGGGTGGTGGAACTGCGGGCGACACCCGGACCGCCGGAGGGGTCAGCAAAAGAAACGGCAGCAGGAACAGGAAGCGGCGTCAGGGTGGTGGAGTCGCGGAAGAAACACCGGGAAGCGCCAGAGTCCAAGGTGAAGGAAGGCGAAGCAGAGGCGTCTGGCGACGGAACAACGTCGGAAGCACCAAGGCTACACAAAGCAGGGGATCCTACGCCTGACGCAGCAGGGGAGGCTAAGCTAGGCACACCTACACTAGCCGACAGTGAGTAATAAGCAGGAAGCACACTAGAGTCATCAGCATACATCACATGCAAAGCAGAAACAATGGCATCCATGTCCATGTCAAAAATCTGAATCTTACGACTAAGCAAACTGTGCCAGTCCGGAAGGTCTGGCGACGGGCCGAAGCGCTGACAAAACAGGTCGTCCAGGCGACGAAAACAGCGGGGAGTGGAGTGACCGATCTTACCGCAAACGAAGCGGCGGCGAGGACCGGTCTGGATCTGGTACTGACAAAGCACGCCTCCAGAACCTCCACTCGGCACACCACCACGCGCCCGACCACCGCCAGCGCCGGGTCACCCAGGCGGGAGTACACTCGTCTGCCTCGTCTGCAGCGGCTGCTGTGAAGGCTGCGGCTGCTGCGACTGCGGCGGCTGCTGCGGCTGCTGCTGCTGCTGCGACTGCAGAGGCGGCGGCTCAGCTGGACTGGGCAGGGTCCCCTCGTCCGCTCCAGCACCAGACGACCCGACTCCACCACCACCCCCTCCCGCACCCCCGCCTCCTCTGCCGCGCCCAAACTTGGGGCGGCGGCCCTTCCCCGAACGAAACTGCGCTGCAGCAGCAGTCTCAGCCACAGCGGCAGAGCCGTCGGAGAAGGTACACTGAGCGGGGGCACAACCCTGAAAGAAAGGGACCGGCACGGTACCACTCGCCTGGGCGATGGAGCGGTGGCGGGTCTCAATCATAGTTAGGGTGTCTACAAAGTCAGTGAGGGTGAGGTCTGCGGGGTGAATGCTAAGGAAGCGGTCGCGGGCGACAGCAAGGCGGTCAGGGAGGCGTGTGGCAAGCAGATAAAGGGTAGAGGTAATGGGCGGCTGGTGGGCTCTAAGCTGTGCGTCAGTGCAGGCAGCGCGCCAGGTGTCATCTATCGAGCGCAGGTGGGCGGCGAGGTCAGAGACAGTGGGGAAAGACGCAAGGTCATGAAAGAGCATCGGGAGGATCAGGCGACCCACCGAGGCAGCCGGAGGGGTGGAATAGCGCTGGATGACAGCATCTAAGCAAGCCTGAGCAGTAGTGAGAGACCTAAAGCGAGGGCGCTCGGACGGGGGAAGGGCGTTGCTAATGGCAAGCTGGGCGACAGCATCGCGAGAAAGCCAGACAGAGCGCGCACGGGCAGTGGCAGCAGTAGATTCGCGCTCGGTGGGTGTGGGGTCAGCAGGCAGAACAGCAGGGGGGTCTGGGCAGGGGAGCGTACCGTCAAGGTGTGCGGACAGTGGTTCACCATCCTGCCGCTTGCCAGTGAGTTGGCGTCGGAGGTCGGCAAGCCACGCCTCGAACTCCAGAGGCTGGCCTTCAGCGTCAAACCGAAGCTCCGCCGCCATCAGGGGCAGTGCAGGACAGGGCAGTACTGTGCAGGGCAATGCAGGGTGGTGCAGTGCTGTGCAGTGCAATGTAGGGCGGTGCAGGGCAGTGCAGGGTGGTGCAAAGCAATGCAGGGCAGTGCAGTGCGGTGCGGGGCGGTGCAGGGAGGGGGGGAACCGTACCTGTGAGGATGCAAGGGCCGGGGCAGGGATGAGCGCAGAGGCCCGGCCGGTGCGGCTGGGCCGGGCGAGCGTGGCAGGGAGCGACGGGGCCGGGCAGGGCGCATTTGGGGCCGGGCGAATGCGACGGGGCCGGGCAGGGTGCAACGGGGCCGGGCGGGTGCGACGTGGCCGGGCGGGTGCGACGGGGCCGGGCAGGGCGCAACGGGGCCGGGCGGGTGCGACGGGGCCGGGCGGGTGCGACGGGGCCGGGCGGGTGCGACGGGGCCGGGCGGGTGCGGCGTGGCCGGGCAGGGCGCGACGGGGCCGGGCGGGTGCGACGGGGGGCGGGCGGGTGCGACGGGGCCGGGCCGGTGCGACGGGGTCGGGCAGGGCGCGACGGGGCCTGAAGGCGGGACGGGACCCAAGAGGGGCGCTACGGGGCCCAGGAGGGGCGCGACGGGGCCCAGGAGGGGCGCTACGGGGCCCAGGAGGGGCGCGACGGGGCCCAGGAGGGGCGCTACGGGGCCCAGGAGGGGCGCGACGGGGCCAAGGAGGGGCGCTACGGGGCCCAGGAGGGGTGCGACGGGGCCCAGGAGGGGCGCTACGGGGCCCAGGAGGGGCGCGACGGGGCCCAGGAGGGGCGCTACGGGGCCCAGGAGGGGCGCGACGGGGCCCAGGAGGGGCGCTACGGGGCCCAGGAGGGGCGCTACGGGGCCCAGGAGGGGCGCGACGGGGCCCAGGAGGGGCGCTACGGGGCCCAGGAGGGGCGCGACGGGGTCCAGGAGGGGCGCTACGGGGCCCAGGAGGGGCGCGACGGGGCCCAGGGGCACGAAGGGCCCAGGGGGTCGCGACGGGCCTAGGGGGTCGCGACGGGGCCCAGGAAGGCGCGACGGGGCTAGAGGGTCGCGACGGGGCCCAGGAGGGGCGCGGCAGGGCTAGGGGCACGACGGGGCCGAGGGGATCGGGGGAGGCGCGGCGGGGCCTAGCTAGGTAACGAGCGGAAGCGGTAGGTGGGGGGGATCCTAACCTACGTGTGATACCATATCAGAATTAGAGAAGTGAATGATAGGTAGAGCGAGAGTACAGATAGATATACCTAAGTATTGTACCCTCTAAGAGATGACCCTATACAGTCTGTGCAAACATAACAAATACACATGTTTGACACTAGTATGGCACTTTCATCCAACTATTTACATAGTCAAGCTAATGAATCCATATACGGTAGTTAAAATGAATTATTCCTACTATATTGGTCACGAATCTCCATGTTTTACTTCAATATAATAGATTTTTTTCACAAATTTGTTAATTAAACTTGAAAAAAAATCTCGTCCAATTGATCGTAATAGGTTGCTCCGCAACCCAAAAAAATATATAAAAACAACAAGGGAGTACGGGCTGTTGATAATCGAACAAAAGTAGCCCCGCTTCGGGCATCCCACCATCCCGCGTATGACAAAGAGGGTAACCCAAGAGCAACACTTACAGTCCCATATGCCCGTGGCGAGGTCTGCGAAATGAAAGTGGCGTTTTCAGTCCCTGCCGCTCAAAAACCTCGAGTTATGACTCGAGCAACCAGGGTATAAGAGAAAATATATGCTGTACATAATTGTCTGTTTCTCAGTTTTTCTGTAAACCCGACAAAGTAGGACCATCTAAAAAGGAAACGCGGCACATTGCGCCCTTTCGGAGGATCGCGGCTGAAATATCGAAATTGTATCGTTTGCAATATCATTCCAGACGTCTTGAAAACGAACCTCGATATCGGGCCTGGATGCGACATCGGCAGGTTCCAGAAATGCAACTTTCGGCCCGCAGAATCGGTTTCCAACGTGACGTCAAGTCATTTCGCCAGTGTTTCGCGAGAACCCAGAAACCAGCAGCTAGCCCTCGTTGTTTTCGCAAAAGCCTTGAACACGCCTTGAGCCTCACATTTCTGGGTCAGCGCTTTTCGCTTTGGCGAGCTGACGAAAGAATTGCGTGACACCTGCGAGTGGCACGATCTGGTACTTTGGCGGGTAGGTTCGAAAGAGAGTTGGACGTGAAATCGTTTTGTGGGACTGTTTCGGAAGTGATCCTCTCCTCCGAAGTGGTACTTGACTACTTTGAGGTACTGCAGCAAAATGATCGTCGAATCGGACGCAATGTGCCACGCCCTAAGCTCTTTCAAGTAGTCCTGCCTCTTCTGTTCTCGATTATTTGAGTCTGTGGCATCGTCTTGCTGGTGTCGTTTCCCTGTGACACCGAAGTAAGGCTTAGGCTGTCAGATCGCTGAATCGCGAGGTTCTCAGCCCGTTAACTGGAGTATTTCCCCCATCGCTCCAGGGTGTTTAACGAATGACAATGGCGATGGAGGATTCTAAGAAGCGCAAGGCTGACGACAGGGACGCCAACGGCGCATCGGGCGGGGGGGATCGCGATCGAGATCGCGATCGCGGTCACCACAAGGCGGGTCCGTCGGGTCGTTTTGAGCCGTCGGATCCGTCGGCGGGGCTCACGGCGCACCAGGCGCGGATGCTCGTGGACGTCATGAAGGACGGCGACGTTCGCGAAGCGCTCGTGAGCGCGGCGATGTCGCACGGCGCCGTCGCAGATGCGGTGATGGAGGTCGTCGGTCGCGACCCGCAGCAGCGGCGAATCTTCGTGCGCGGGCTCGACTTCAACACCACCGGCGAGACGCTTCGCCGAATCTTCGCGTCGTTCGGCGACGTCGACGACCTCCAGGTGAAGAGAGGACAATCCTGCCGTTGTTGCTGTTGCTGACCACCGCCGTCAGCGTTGCTGTTGCTGTCACGACGGGTTTAGCGTTTTTAAAGCCCCCGATGCGAATCATTGCGTCCTTAGGCCACGTCGACGCCCTCCAGGTGGGTCGGATGGGGAGATCGGACTTATTTGGCTTTCGGGTGGGCAGATCGGGGATATCGGATGTGATCGGGCGTACATTTAGTTGCGGATCGGGCTTTGAGCTGGTTTGATGTTTTTTCAGTCGCGTCGGTCTGCCTGGTCACTCGTCTTCGCCCGGACCTGATCTCTCCTGATCGTGCAAGCCAGGGAATCGAGAGGTTTTGCGCGACACGCGTCGCCCCTGGTGGCCTGGTTGCTTGTCCCACCTTTCTTCGCGCGCCCTCTTTCTCCCCCCTCCCCTCCCCCCTCCCCTTCCCCCTCCCCCTCCCGCTCCCGCTCCCCCTTCCTGCCTCCTCTCCCTTCACCGCCGACGTTTCCCTGCGTCGCCCGCCTCGCGTCGTTGAGATCATTTACGAGAAACAGACGGGGTCCCTCCCGCGCCTTCGCCTTCCTTCCGTTGCTCTTCCCCCCTCCCGACCCCGTCTCCCCTTCTCTTTCTCTCGCCCTTCCACTTCCCCTTCCTCTCCCTTCGCCCCCGACGTTTCGTTTCTTCGTTCAGATTATCTGCGAACGACAGTCCGCTCGTCTCGCGGCTTCAGCTTCGTCACGTGCAGCTCTCTAAGGGCCCCGTTTCCCCCATTTTCCGCCCTTTCCCCCATTCTCTCCCCTTTCCCCCATTCTCTCCCCTTTCCCCCCTTTCCCCCCATTTTCCCCCCTTTCCCCCCATTTTCCCCCCATTTTCCCCCCTTTCCCCCCATTTTCCCCCCTTTCCCCCCATTTTCCCCCCTTTCCCCCCATGTTCCCCCGTGTCCGCCAATGTTCCCCGGCGCCCCCTCCCTCAGATCATTCGCGAGAAGCAGACCGGCAAGTCGCGCGGCTTCGGCTTCGTCACGTACCGGTCGCTGAGGGGCGCCATGCGCTGCCTGGAGGAGCCCTCCAAGCTCATCGACGGCCGAATGGCCGTCTGCCAGCTGGCCACGCTCGGCCCGGGCGGCGGCTCGGCGAACGCTGACGTGGCGGCACGGAAGATTTTTGTGGGGAACGTCCACGTGGAGCTGACGTCAGAGCAGCTGCTGTCGTTCTTTTCGCAATACGGAGATATCGAGGAGGGGCCGATCGGATTCGATAAGAGCACGAGGAAGAGCCGCGGATACGCGATATTCGTCTTTAAGACCGCGGAAGCTGCCCAGAAAGTTTTGGAGGAGCCGAATAAAATCATTCACGGGCACCAGGTTTTCTGTAAGCTCGCTGGCGAAAACAGAGGCAAACAGCAGCAGCAGCAGCAGCAGCAACAGCAGCAGCAGGCGGGGTTAGTGGGGGTAGTGGGGGGAACAGAGGAGCAGCAGCAGCAGCAGCAGGCGTATATGCAAGGCTATCCGCAGATGGTCGTGTATGGGGGGGATGCGCAAGCTGCCGCTTACGCCGCGGCATATGCGCCTGCCGCGTACGCGCAGCAGTTTCAGGGGGTTCCGCAGCAGCAGCAGCAGCAGCAGCAGCAGCTGTATCAGGTGGCGGACGTATACGCGCAGCAGGCGCAGGCGCAGGCGCAAGTGCAAGCCCAGGCGCAGGCGCAAGCCCAGGCGCAGGCGCAGGGGCAAGTTCCCCTGCAAGCGCAGCAGTACTACCAGCAAGCGCCCGCCGCTGTCGCCTACCCGCAGCCTGTAGCTGGTTTCCAGCAGCCTGGTTACCAGCAGGCGGCAGGTGGTTACCAGCAGGCGGCAGGTGGTTACCAGCAGGTGGCAGGTGGTTACCAGCAGCAACCAGTGTATGTAACCCCTGCTGCTGCCGCGCCAACTCAACCTACCCCGGGTCAGCCCTACCAAGGCGCGCCCCAACCCGCGCTCATGCAGCCTCCGCCTGCTGCCCCCTCCTCCCAGGGTTATCCCCCCCAAGCTGCGCCCGCGCAGGGCTACTACGCGCCCCAGGGGGCAGTGCCGGCGCAGGGGGGGTACGTGCAGGCGGGGGTTGCGCCCCAAGGGGGAGTTTACTATCCGCTGCAGGCGCAGGGACAGGCGCAGGGGCAGGCGCAGCAGCAGGGGCAGCAGCCTGGAGGGAAAGGTGGCGCTGGGAAGGCTTCCCCCCAGCCTGGCGCAGCAGCAGGGACAGGGGCAGGTGGCATGCCTGGTTACCCTGCAACATTGCCGCAGCAGGGCCAGCAGCAGCAGGGGGCAGGGCAGCAAGGGGTGTATGCAGGGGCGCCGCAACCAGGGCAGGTGTATGCGCGACAGGGCGCTCCTGGTGGTGCCGCTCCGGCTGCAGGGGGCTACTATGGCGCTCAGTAGCCTTGTTAAAGAATGATCTTGAGGCGCCTGAAAAGATCGCCAGTTATGGTGCCCACTAGCCTTGTTAAAGACGACTCTTGAGGCGCCTGAAAGAATCGCCAGTTATGGCGCTGAGTAGGTCTGGTGAAGGATCTCAGATGTGACCGCTGCAAGGGGGAGGGCAGCAGGGGGTGATGTGTGGTTGGGGGACTGCGGTGGAGTCGACCTATTCGGCTGTTGGTGTTAGTGGGTTGCCAGGGTGTTGTGTGAGGATGGTGCTGGCTGCCTGATGTTCTGCTGCCACGCTGGAGCTGATCGGTGGTTATGAGTGGCTGTGGCTCCCGTTCACCTGCATCGGCCGCAGCTTCACCCCACCATTCTCCACCATTCTCTGCCATTCCGTTCTTGTGACTACGGCTGCCAGCATCCACGGAGGTTTGTGTGTCATGTTGGCCCGCACCGCGTTGGGCGCACTCGGCGATCCTTCTCCCCCTCGTCGCCTCCTTCCCGGGCCTCTCATGGCCCTTTCTCGCTGTCCTTTCACCTTGTTTTCCACGATCTGTTTGGGCTCATACGTTCGCCTCCGTTCTCCCATTCCTGTTATACTGCCTGGCTTATGAGTCGACTGCTTCCTGTCTGCTTCTGATTCGACTCACAATCGTTCGCCTCCGCTCTCCGCGTTTCTGCTTCACTGCCGGGCACTCTCTTTCTATCTTCCCAGCTCTCTGAATCTGCCCTATTCTGCTGATCGCTCTTCGACTCTCACCTGCGTCGTTCCATCGCTCCCATCACCGACCCTCCGCAGTGGTTACTCCCACTCTCATGCTTCCCTTTGTTTCTGACACCGGTCTTTGCCGGCTCTCAGTCTCTCACGCTCTCTTCTAGAAAAACCTCTCTTCTCCAGTGGGGGTCATTACGCTACGCTATTGTGTCTGTCCAGTGCTTTTGGCTTCCACTTGCTCAACCAATGAGCAGTCTTAACGTATCTTGTGACTGCAATGAAGTGTTTTCGTAGTCTCTCTGAGCTAGGGCTTCTTTCTGAATTGTCTTGATATCTTGGGACTCCACTCTCTTGCAATTGGTTGTCGTAAAATCCCTTCGGGTTTTACACTTTCGGTGTTGCCTTTATTGGCCTTGTCCCATGCTTCTGCTCTTGGTGACACTCGGTCTCTGTTCCACAATCATCTTTTTTATCCAAGTTGCGTTATCGTGCTTGCACTCCCCCCTCTGGTTTCACTGCATTTCATTTGACAGACAACAAAGCACTTTGTTGTGCATTGTTGAGTAGCATGTTAAAGTGAGAAAAGTTGACTAGAACAAGACATACAGGGGTATATAGCCTAATGAGTTGTACTCCGTAAGGCACAACCCCATATAGTCTACAGTAACATACAATATATGTTTGACACACCCCCTACATTGGATAGAGCCAGTGCTTGATGAGAGAGAAACGGCTTAGGGTGGCACTAGTCCAACCTCTGAGGCAGGGGTCTAAAGACCAGTCAAACAAGTACAGACAAGGCAAGAGCAAGACTAGGGTAGTGGGGTAACACTACTAGTCCAACCACTGGGAAGAGGCCACAAGGCCAATCTGGGTAATATATGTTGTTAACGTAGAAACGAATGATTACTAGAGGTGGAAACCTAGAACAAATACTAGTTGGTTGTACTCACTAGAAGCATACCTCAGTCTAGCCTATAACTTCTACATAGATAATATGTATAAGTTGACACACCCCCTAGGCTAGACAAGGGGTGAAACTAAACAAGAAGCAAACAGCTCAGGGCGGCACTACTAGTCCAACCACAGAGGCAGGGGTCTGGAGACCAGTCAGCAAGAATACAACCAAAACTGAAGCAAGCCAGGGTGGCACTACTAGTCCAGCCACTGGAGGTAAGGCCACAAGGCCAGTCTGACAAGCATATATAATAGAGAGTACACAATCAGGATCCTAACAGGGGAGCAGCTATAGGAACAAGACCAAGCTGTACACAGTGCCGCTGATGATCTTTAGGCGCAAGCGCCTTAGTAAAGATATCAGCTGTGTTGGCACCTGAGGCCAAGTGAACTACGCGGGCCTGGCGGCGCTGCTGTAGCTCGCGCAGGAGGAAGTACCGCAGCTGGATATGCTTCGCTCTGCCCTCAAGCCGAGGCTCCTGACACAGGAGTATCATGGCCCTGTTGTCAGCGTACAGGACCGGGGCAGAGCTAGGCCGCTCACCTAAGTCTGTGAGCAAGAAGGTCAGCCAGCGGAGCTCCTGTGCCGCCATGGCACCAGCGTAGATCTCAGCCTCACAGCTAGACTGAGCCACAGACGACGAGCGAGTGGATCTCCAAGAGATAGCACCCGAACCAAGGCTGAAACAGTAGCCCTGCGACGACCTGAGCGTCTCAGCGTCGTCTGCCCAAGAAGCGTCTGTGTGCCCAGTAAGGACCACTGGCCTGCGTCCTCCTAGCACTAACCCCATGCCTGATGTACTAGCAAGATAACGCAAAACCCTCTTAGCGGCAGACCAGTGCTGAGGTCGGTGTCTGCCTGTAGCCACAAAGCGAGCCAGGATGCTGAGAGGGTATGCGAGATCTGGGCGAGTGCAAGTCATCAGGTACATGAGGCAACCCACCAGCTCTGCGTAGGGGCCACTGGGCTCTACTGGCTCCTCAGGAACGGGAGCAGAGAGCCCATGGTCTACGGGTAGAGGTGTGGGCTGTGCGGAGGAGAACTGAAGACCGAACCTCTGAAGGACCTGACGCACCAAGTGTGACTGGGTCAGAGTGATGGTGCGTGCTGCTCTGTCCCTAGAGATCTGCAGGCCAAGATAGCGACGCAGCTCTCCAAGGTCAGTGCAGGTGTGTCTCTTCAGCAGCTCAGCCTTCACAGAGGCCAGTGCGTCCCTGTCAGGAGTAGCGAAGACCAGGTCGTCTACGTAGACAAGGATGTAGAACGGAGTCTGGCCGGAACGCACAAACAGTGAAGGGTCAGCAGAGGACGGAAAGAACTGCAGGTCTGCTAACGTGGCACGTAGCGTGTCGTGCCACTCGCGGGGAGCCTGACGCAGGCCGTAGACCGGGCGCCTGAGAAGCCACTGGGTCCCAGGAGGGAAGGTACCAGTGAAGCCCTGTGGTCGGCGCAGGTAGACCTGCTCGTGTAGGCTGCCCTGAAGAAAGGCAGTAGAGAAGTCGAGGGAGTGAAGCTCGTAGTCACGCTGTGCTGCTACGTGTAGCAGCGCCCGAAGAGTGGTCATCTTCGGGGTCGGGGCGAAGGTCTGGAAGAAGTCCACCCCCTCGCGCTGACTGAAACCTCTGGCCACGTAGCGCGCCTTGAAGACAGGCGGCTCTCCAGGGGGGCGCTTCACCTTGAAGAGCCACCGACCATCGACTACGTTCACCCCAGGCGGGGGAACTGCGTCGACGTAAGTGCCGGTGGATCTCCAAAATGCCATCTCCTGCTCCATGGCAGCTATCCACTGAGAGGCCCAAGGTCCCGAGGTGGCCTCAGCGTAGGTGCGAGGGGTCGGGATGTCGAAGGCGTCTGGGTCACCCTCAGGGACTAACAGCATGGAGCAGAGATGGGGAGCAGCCTCGGAAAGGAAAGCCAGCTCGTACTGCCTGTCCTCTAGGACGTCACTGCCAAGGGCAGGAGCACCCCCGACGGACAGAGGACGGGCAGGGTCAGAGACCAGAGCGGTAGCGTAGTCAAGGCGGCGGGTAGAAGCGAAGTCAGCGACAGCAGCGACAAGCGCGTCAAGGCGCGAGACAGGAACAGCAGGGTCGGTAACAAGAGAGGCAAGGACCCGAGGGACAAGGGGACGAGCAGCACGGAGGTAGTCAGAGAACGGAGGAGGTGCAACAGCAAGGGACGAGGGAGGAGGGGACGGGAGGAGGGGAGGACGAGACGAGTGGGAACGGAGCAACATAGGGTGGGTGGGCAGGACAGGAGAGACGGGACGAGCACGGGAGGGACGGCGAGCCCAAACGTGAGACGGAGGGGTAGGGTCAGGGGACAGCGGAGGAGACACAGGAGGGGAACGAGGAGGAAGACGGGCCGGAGACGAGTCTGGCGGCGGGAACACAGGACCGTAGACAGGGAGGTCAGGAGGCGGTGGGGGAGACACCGGCGCGCGATCCGGGGAGGGAAGGCCGAGCAGGCGGAGAGCGGAAACCGGCGGCGACGGCTGCTGCGGCGGCGACGACGGCTGGGCCGGAACTCTCGGACCAGCAGAGGCAGAACGACCGTCGGCAGAACACTCAACAGCAGCACCCCCAGAACCAACACCCCCAGAGCGAGAACCCCCTCCAACACCAGCGGCACCCCCAGAAGCCGCAGGACGAACACCCTCCTCCACACCAGCACCCCCAGGGGCCGAGAGCAGCGGCGGCGGTGGCGGCAACGGCTGCGGCGGCGGCGACAGCGGCGACGGCTGCGGCAGCGACAGCGGCGGCGGCGGCGACGACAGCGGCGACGGCTGCGGCGGCGACGGCGACGGCGGCGGCAGCGGGGTCGGCGACTGCGACAGTGGGGGCGGAGGCACCGGGGAAGGGGGACGCGGCAAGGACGGACCGGGGGTACCACCAGAGTCAGCAGACTCCTCAACGGGGACAACCGACGGGAGGGGAGTGACGTGGGAGACACCAGACGGGGCAGGACGAGGCGGGAGAGGGGCAGGGGCTACCGGGGGAGAGGGAGCAAGGAAAAGGGGGGGGGCAACTGGGAGACCTCGGTGAGGGAAGCGGCGGTAGAAGGAGATGGACTCATCAAAGGTGACGTCACGAGAGTGGAGGAAGCGGTGAGACGGCGGGTGGTAGAAAAGCCAGTCAGACGAGTCCAGGGGGAAACCGAGGAAGACACAGGGGACAGTGCGGGCAGTGAGCTTGTCCGTGCCAGAGGCACGAACGTGAGCAAGGCAGCCCCAGACGTGGAACGCAGACGCGTCACCGGGGGACCCGGTCCAAAGGAGGGTCGGCGAAACCTGCGGCCGCTGGGAGCGTGGCCACAGGTTAAGCTGGTGAGCCGCGTAGCGAACAGCGAACGGCCACAGAAAATGGGGGGCATCGGCATGGATCATGGAGGTACGGGCGACCTCCATGACCAAGCCGATGCGGCGCTCAGCAACCCCATTCTGCTGTGGCGAGTCCGGCAACGTGTACGACTGGGTGATGCCCTCCGCACGACAGAACTGTCCAAGCCGACCAGAGGCGAACTCGCCGCCACGGTCGGAGTGGAGACACAACACGGGGAGACCGCGGTGGAGACGCGCAGCCACAACCCACGGGAGAAGAACGTCGGGCACGTCGGCCTTCCGCTCCAGGGGAAACACCGTGGTGTAGCGCGTGTAGTCGTCGACAAGCACAAGGAAGTAGCGCTCACCGCGCGGTCCGGGGACGGGGGCAGGGCCCCAAACGTCCAAGTGCAGGGTCTGAAGGGGGGCAGTAGCAGGACGCAGCGAGGAGGAGTGAGGAGCACGGCGGAGCCGACCCTCGACGCAAGGCGTGCACGGTGGCGCAGTCGAGGGAGGAAGGGCAGGGAGCGACGCGGGGAGACCTAAGACAAGACCGTGCTGGGACATGTGACGCAGACGCGGGAGAGCAGGGTGACCTAAGCGGTGGTGCCAGAGAAGGGAGGGGTGAGTGAGGGACCGACACGAGCAAGCTGCAGCGACCTGGGAGGACGCACCAACCGGGGGGGAAGCGGTGTGTAGGGTAAACAGACCGGACACCGGGTCCCGGGGGAACGTCGCAAGGGGGGAACCTGAGACAGCCTCAGAACAGACAGCGAACCGCTCGTGCCCGGGGAACGTGGTGGTGACGCCGAGGTCCTGGAGACAGCCGACACCAACCAGGTTCCTGGAGAACGAGGGAACGTGGAGGCCAGTAAGGGAGCCCGAGGGAACTGCCGGACAGGGAAGGGACGTAGAACTGCGCGCGACGACCGGACCCGCAGAGGGGTCAGCGAGAGAGACAACAGCAGGTGCAGCAAGCGGCGTGAGCGTGGAACGGTCGCGGAAGAAGCAGGCAGAAGCACCAGAGTCGAGAGTGAAGGACAGCGACGCAGTGGCGGGGGCCGGGGACGGAGCCGGTGCAGCGACTAGACTAGGCAACCTAGGCAGTCCTACGCCTGTCGCAGCAGGGGAAGCTAAGCTACACAAGGGTGAAACACCTAAACTAGAGTACACAGGGTAGTAAGATCCATCAACACTAGAAGCGTCAGCATACAAAGCATGCAAAGCAGCACCTATCTGATCCATGTCTAACTCAAAGATCGGCACGCCCTGGCGGAGCAGGCTGTGCCAGTCAGGGAGGTCCGGGGCCGGGCCAAAGCGACGACGAAAAAGATCGTCGAGGCGGCGGAAACAGCGGGCGGTCGGGTGCGGGCGGCGGCACAGAGTGCCGCGGAGAGGCCCGGTCTGAAGCTGGT